CCCAAAGCAATAATACACGTTCTTCTCTAGTGCCCATGGAACATTCTCCAGAATAGATCACATGCTAGGTCACAAATCAGGTCTCAACCAGTATCAAAAGATTGGGATCATTCTCTGAATATTTTCAGATCACAGTGCTTTGAAACTAGAACTTAATCACAAGAGGAAAGTCGGAAAGAAATAATTCATGGAGGCTAAAGAGCATCCTACTAAAGAATAAATGGGTCAACCAGGAAATTAAAGAAGAATTAAAAAAATTCATGGAAACAAATGAAAATGAAAACACAACTGTTCAAAATCTTTGGGATGCAGCAAAGGCAGTCCTAAGAAGAAAGTATATAGCAATACAAGCTTTTCTCAAGAAAGGTCTCAAATACACAACCTCACTCTACACCTAAAGGAGCTGGAGAAAGAACAGCAAATAAAGCCTAAACCCAGCAGGAGAAGAGAAATAACAAAGATCAGAACAGAAATCAATGAAATAGAAAACCAAAAGAACAGTAGAGCTGATCAACAAAACTAGGAGCTGGTTCTTTGAAATAAAAACAAGATTGATAAACCCCTGGCCAGACTTATCAAAAAGAAAAGAGAAATGACCCAAATCAACAAAATCATGAATGAAAGAGGAGAGATCACAATCAACACCAAAGAAATACAAACAATTGCAAGAACAGATTATGAGCAACTATATGCCAGCAAATTAGACAACCTGGAAGAAATGGATGCATTCCTAGAGATGTATCAACCACCAAAACTGAACCAGGAAGAAACAGAAAACCTGAACAGACCTATAACCACTAAGGAAATTGAAGCAGTCATCAAAAATCTCCAACAAACAAAAGCCCAAGGCCAGATGCTTCCCTGGGGAATTCTACCAAACATTTAAAGAAGAATGAATACCTATTCTTCTGAGACTGTTCCAAAAAACAGAAATGGAAGGAAAATTTCCAAACTCGTTTTATGAGGCCACCATTACCTTGATCCCCAAACCAGACAAAGACCCCATCAAAAGGGAGAATTACAGCCCAATATCCTTGATGACCAGGGATGCAAAAATTCTCACCAAAATACTAGCCAATAGGATCCCACAGTACATTAAAAGGATTATTCACAATGACCAATTTGGATTTATCTCTGGTTTGCAAGATTGGTTCAACATCCACAAATCAATCAATGTGAACAATACATTAATCAAAGAAAGAAAAGAATCATATGATCCTCTCAATAGATGCAGAAAAAGCATTTGACAAAGTACAGCATCCTTTCTTGATCAAAACTCTTCAGAGTATAGGGATAGACGGTACATACCTCAATATCATAAAAGCCATCTATGAAAAACCTACAGAGAATATCATTCTCAATGGGGAAAAACTGAGAGCTTACCCCTAAGGTCAGGAACATGGCAGGGATGTCCACTATCATCACCACTGCTATTCAACATAGTATTAGAAGCCCTAGCCACTGCAATCAGACAACAAAAAGATATCAAAGGCATCCATATCAGCAAAGAAGAAGTCAAACTCTCACTGTTTGCAGATGATATGATACTTTATGTGGAAAACCCAAAAGACTCCACCCCAAAACTGCTAGAATTCATACAGGAATTCAGTAAAGTGGCAGGATAGAAAACCAATGCACAGAAATCAGTGGCATTCCTATACACCCACATCAAGACAGAAGAGAAATTAAGGAGTCGATCCCATTTATAACTGCACCCAAAACCATAAGATACCTAGGAATAAATCTAACTAAAGAGGCAAAGAATCTGGCCTCAGAAAGCTATAAAATACTCATGAAAGTAATTGAGGAAGACACAAAGAAATGGAAAAACGTTCCATGCTCATGGATTGGAAGAACAAATATTGTGAAGATGTCAATGCTACCTAGAGCAATCTACACATTTAATGCAATCCCCATCAAAATACCATCCACTTTTTCCAAAGAAATGGAACAAATAATCCTAAAACTTGTATGGAACCAGGAAAGATCCCAATTAGACAGAGGAATGTTGAAAAAGAAAAGCAAAGGTGGCGGCATCACAATTCCAGACTTCAAGCTCTATTACAAAGCTGTCATCATCAAGACAGTATGGTAACTGGCACAAAAATAGACACGTAGATCAATGGAACAGAATAGAGAGCCCAGAAATAGCCCCTCAACTCTATGGTCAACCAATCTTCAACAAAGCAGGAAAGAATGTCCAATAGAAAAAAGAGAGTCTCTTCAACAAATGGTGTTGGGAAAATGGACAGCCACATGCAAAAGAATGAAACTGGACCATTTCCTTATACCACACACAAAAATAGGTTCAAAATCGTTGAAAGACCTCAATGTTAGACAGGAATCCATAAAATCCTAAAGGAGAACACAGGCAGCAACCTCTTCGACCTCAGGCACAGCAAATTCTTCCTAGAAACATCGCCAAAGGCAAGGGAAGCAAGGGCAAAAATGAACTATTGGGCCTTTATCAAGATAAAAAGCTTTTGCATAGGAAAAGAAACAGTCCACAAAACCAAAAGACAACCAACAGAATGGGAGAAGATATTTGCAAATTACATATCAGATAAAGGCCTTTGTCCAAAATCTATAAAGAACTCATTAAAGTCAACACCCATAGAACAAATGATTCAATCAAGAAATGGGCAGAAATCATGAACAGGCATTTTTCCAAAGACTTCCAAATAGACAACAGACACATGAAAAAGTGCTCATCATCACCCAGCATCAGGGAAATCCAAATTAAAACCTCAATGAGATACCACCTCACACTTGTCAGGATGGCTAAAATTAATAAGTCAGGAAATGACAGATGTCAGTGGGGATGAGGAGAAAGGGGAACCCTCCTACACTGTTAGTGGGAATGCAAGCTGGTGCAGCCTCTCCAGAAAACAGTATGGAGGTTCCTCAAAAAGTTGAAAGTAGAGCTACCATATGATCCAGCAATTGCACTACTGTGTATTTACTCCAAATATACAAATGTAGAGATCTGAAGGGGTACGTGCACCCTGATGTTTATAGCAGCAATGTTCACAATAGCCAAACTGTGGAAAGAGCCAAGATGTCCATCGACAGATGAATATATAAAGAAGAGGTGGTATATATATACAATGGAATATTATGCAGCCATCAAAAGGAATGAAATCTTGCCATTTGCAACAACATGGATGGAACTGGAGGGTATTATGCTGAGCGAAATAAGTCAGTCAGAGAAAGACATGTATCATATGACCTCACTGATATGAGGAATTCTTAATCTCAGGAAACAAACTGAGGGTTGCTGGAGTGGTGGGGCATGGGAGGGATGGGGTGGCTGAGTGATAGACATTGGGGATTGTATGTGCTATGGTGAGTGCTCTGAATTCCGTAAGACTTGAATCAAAGACCTGTACCTCTGAAACAAATAATACATTATATGTTAAAAAAAAAAAAGCAGGAAGGGAAAAATGAAGGGGGGCATAAATCAGAGGGGGAGAGGAACCATGAGAGACTATGGACTCTGTGAATCAAACTGAGGGTTCTAAAGGGGAGGGGTGTGGGGGGAAGGGTTAACCTGTTGATGAGTATTAAAGAGGGCATGTACTGAATGGAGCACTGGGTATTATATGCAAACAATGAATCATGGAACATTACATCAAAAACTAATGATGTAATGTATGGTGATTAACATAACATAAAAAAAGAAAAGAAAGAAATGATTGTAGAGATACATTGACTGAATAACTGCTAGACCTTTTCTACATTATCCTGAAAAAGAGAAAATTTATAAATAACTACAGTAATATAACATGCTATTATTATATTATTATTTATAATATCCAGTTATTTAAATTCTTGAAATTTAATAGAATCCTCAGAATCCTTCAATTTCTTTCCTACTCTTCCTCCCTCTCCCTTTCTCTCTCTGAGAATGGGTGGTACATTAAACTGGTAATTTGATAAAGGGACCATTTGTTAATATGTACGCAAGATATAGGAATTTTGCCCTACTTTAGGGATAGTAATAAAAAAAATTCAATTGTCACTCAGACTTGAAGGAAAGGACAATGTCATTTCACTAGGGTCACAGACAGAAAGTAGAAGCCTCCACTCAAGGATTCAGACAGTTATAGGCACCCTGGCAGTGACGGTAATAAATATCCTTCTCTTTTCTTAGCCTGTTCCTCTCTATAGACCAAGTTAAAAGCAGAGGGTAAAGGAACAGTTTAATATAATCTATTGGTGTTACCTTCTGGGCTAGAGAGCTGCAGGGTTGATTGAGAGAGGCAAACAGAAGATACCAAAATATATTCCTAGAAACCAATCTTGAAGTATATTCAACAAAATGCTATTAGATCTATATGAAGGGATAGTGTGATTTTTGGATTTTTCTTAAACCGTGTATGTTTTAGTATGGTTAAAATATGCTATAATAAGTATCCTACATTCGCAAAAAGAAAAATTGTAAAGGTACTTTAGTTTTGAAAATGAAGTTTAAACAATGATGGTAAGTCAGCATTTTTAATTTCAGTCATTATTTAGCTTAATTCAATGGGCTTATTTATGATTTTTTTTAAGGTATGGAAGATTTACATAAAATATCCCCAAATAATTAAATTATAAATGAACATAACCAGTTAATAATTTGACACTGTATGTGTGTATATGTGTGTCTAAAGATTTTCTTTTGTGAGTACAAATATGACTATAATAATTGTTATATATAATTAACAAGTTATTGGGGCAATATTGTTCTTGCCCTGATGCCACCAAGTGAACCATGCATTTATATTTTGGTAAAATTTCACTTTTTATGTTTTTCTTATATTGTTAATGGTACCTGTAACATGTTAGACCAATATGGATGGCACACCTGTGGTTAATATATTAAGGCACATAGATAAGGCATATATATGCCTCTATTCAATTTTATTGAGTGACTATTTTTAATAATTACATTATTTTCCAGGTAAATGAGTCATCTTCTAAATGTGAGTGTGTACATGTGTGTTCTTTTCTTCCAGCACCCCAGAACCATAAGTCTGGAGTCGCTTGCAGTTATTATAGCTCAGTTACTGAGCCTTAGTATGGGAATAGCTTATGATGATGTTAACAAATGCCAGTGCTCAGGAACTGTCTGCATAATGAACCCAGAAGCAATGTAAGATGCTTTACTTTTATATGCTTTATATACATAGTTTATATAAAAATAAGTTTGGTGTAATTAATTTAAAAAAGTCTAGGCTGCTAAAATAATTACTAATGGTCAAATATAAGCTGTGTCCAACAATGCCCAATGCTGCATGTCTACCTCACTCTCCCTTGTAATCTGATACCACACTTGCTTTGTCATATATTATCTACTTCTACACTTATCACTAAGTCAGTTGTCAGATTTTATAATCTAATGCATGATTTGATAAGCTAAATACAGGCTTGTGAACACTATAAAAGAATGATTTATTAGTTTGGTCTTGTCTGCATGAATTTCATTTTGCCCTCTCAACCTGAAGTCTTGGTAAATCAGGAGTGATTTCAGAGGTGCTGTTATTCAGCTTTTTCTGTTACTAGAGAAGGCCTTTTTGCAGTATCCTTGCCATGCCTCAAAGACCTAGTGAATTGGATGTTATCATCATTATTCTTAGAGTACAACAGTGAGATTTCATAGAATTAGGACCAAATAGGGGGTTTAGGGAAACCACCATCCACTCAATGACTAGAGCTAGCCTTTAGCCTTTCTGAATGACATTTCTCACAGCCATTTTCTGCTTCTCATATGTCTTAGAAAATCAAGCCCCATTGCCTACAGCAACAAAGTTGATAACATCACATTCTCTCCATTCCTTCACTTCTGCTTCCACAATCATTTCTTAAGAATACTTGCAATCAAATTTTTATCTCAGGCTCTGATTTGGCAGAGACTCATATGAAAATAATTATCTCAGAAGGGGCTATAGAACAGCATTATCAACAATAGCCAAATTATGGAAAAACCCAAATGTCCATCAACTGATGAATGGATAAAGAAGAGGATATGTGTGTGTGTGTGTGTGTGTACATGTACACACACACACACACACAATTGAAATATTATTCAGCCATCAAAAAGAATGAAATCTTGCCATTTGCAATGACACGGATGGAGCTAGAGTGTATTATGCTAAAAGAAATAAATCAGAGAAATACAAAAATCATATGATTTCACTCATATGTGGAATTTAAGAAATAAAACAGATGAACAAGGGATAAAAGGAGGCAAAGCAAAAAACATACTTTTAACTATAGAGAAAACAAACTGAGGATTGCTGGAAGGGAGGTTGATGGGGGATGGGCTAAATGGGTAATGGGTATCAAGGAGGGCATTTGTTGTGTTGAGCACTGGACATTTATATGTAAGTGATGAATCACTAAGTTTTACTCCTAAAATCAATACACTATATGTTAATTGACTAGAATTTGAATATAAATTTGAAACAACAACAAAAAAGAAGGGGCTATAGAAAGCAAGCCTTTTTAAATAATTATGGACCTGGAACAATTTATGATTTGGTGACAACAGGGATGCCTTTAGCAGGAGACGATATAGAGAGAGGGTGCTGCAGGTCCATGCTGTGATGTAAAATGTTCGTTCTTTGGCGCACTTATGATCATTAAGATACAATAAAAGTAAAGATATTCATGATAGATTAGGTTACATGTGGAATTTCTGACAAATATAAGAAATTTGTAGTGCAGGTCCCTAGAGTTCTTTGAAGCTCTTGGTGGGCTACTGCACACTTGTAGAGTTGAGCACGCATCCAGGAAATAGTGATGATGTTACTAAAATTGATTATTTTCATCTTAGTTTGGTATAGTCAGATCTCTAGAATTATAAGATCAAGTGGGCCTATTAATCTACCTAATGACCGATATGGCATATCTGGTAGCTAACTAAAAATATCCACACAGTGTAAGTAAATAATATGAACAGGGATCCCAGAGCTCCACGTCACCTATATCTTTTGCACCAATATTTCTCAATCACTTCACATCAATGGCCACATGGGAGTTCCCTAAAACTGGCTGTAGAGGAAAAAGAACCTTGTCTTATTTCAATAATAGCTACTTTCAATATGTTAGGTGGAAGAGGCATGAGAATTGATTTAGATGGGCACAAAATATGCAGATCTTTATATCTCTCTTAAGTTCAAGTCCCATAAGAAGTACTCAATGACCAGGTCAACATTTTAAAATTCACTAATGTCAATCAGCTTCTTCCTTAGGCAAAATATGTAAAAGAGGCCTTAAAATAAAGGTAATGACCTCTTCACAGGGGCAGGCTTCAACCACTTTATTGGAACACCAGCTTCCTGACCATCTAAGGACAATTCCATTAAATATTCTGTATTCCTCTGTGGTCCCAGCAGAATGGAGCCACAATTGTCATCTCAATAAAACACACTTATGTTGACTTTTCCTCATTCTCTCTTTTTCTATTCCTACTCCTTCAATCCTGTTTCCTAGTATCATGTCCCAAATAAATTTCTTACAATTATGTTCATTCCTTTTTTGGGAGTGTTTTTGTTTTGTTTTCATTTTTCTGGTTAATCTAAGTATAGATAGATGACAGTGTATGTACTTCTTAATAATGTTGGACACTGCCTATTAAACATTTATTTTTGACTGAATTATAGTTTTTACAATAATGATATGTTGTTTGTGATACGGATTACAATGATAATAATGGTTATGATGGTGAGGAAATGATAGGAAGGGCTAGAAGACCTGAACTATTAATAGCTCTTTGGACCCTCCACTTCCTCCTACATATTGTCAAATATTCTTTGTTCAATTTTGAAAGTAGCTTATTTTGTTGAGTTGCCTGAATTATTCTCATCACGGTTAGAAATCTTCAAAGTACAGTGTTTCCTCAATTCTTTTCTTTGGGGAAATTATTAGGTGTAAATAGATTGGCATTTACTATTCTTTCTAATTGCACCTCTTTATATATAAGACTATAAAATTTCCAATTGTTTGTAGCAAGTATATAGAAATTTTATTGATTACTTTACATTGAGCTTCTTTCCTACAGTTTTGCTAAATTAAGTTAATTCTGGAATTTTAATTTAGCTTTATTAGAATTTTATACTTGTACAATCATATATTGTATATACAGTTTTACATTTTTGTCAATCTTCATATTTTTTTCCATTCCTATTTTTGGCCTTACTACAGTGTTTAAGACCTTTAATACAACGTTAGAAATGGAATGTGTGGCTATTTTTCTTGCTTCTAATTTAAGAGCAAATCTTTAATCCCTCACCATTAAATATGTTAGCTGAAAGATTTTCAAAGAGGCTTTTACTCAGATTGAGGAAGTTCTTTTTTTATTCTTTGTCCAAATTTCTGTCATGAATAGATTTCATTATGTATCAAGATGATTATGTGTTGTTATTGTTGTTTTTACTTTTTTCAGTTGAAATACATTTTATTGATCTTCAATTGTTCAAATAACTTGTTTTCCTGGGATGAACCACATTTGGACATGATGAATAATCCTTTTCATGTATTGCCCTACTTGTTGCTGGATATTTTTTCCCTAATATTTGCCTCTATATTTATGAAAGACATTGGTCTTTAGTTGTTTATTCTTGTAATTATTTTGACTGGTATCATTATCAGGGTGATATTGGCCTCCTAAAATTTCCTGAAAGTGATTTGGAAAATTGATATTAATTCTTTACAAATTATTTGATAGGAATCCATCAGTGAAGCTGTATGGACTTAGATTTCTCTGTCTGGAAAGGTGTTTAATAATTTTTAAGATATGAGGATATTTAGTTGAGATTTAAAAAAATATTTCCTTGAAATTAATTAATTTGCTATAAATTTTGCATTCAGTACAGCTAACATACAGCATTATATTGTTTCAGGTGTACAATACAGTGATTCAACAATTCCACATATCACTCAGTGCCCAGCATGACAAGTACACTCTTAATCCCCACCACCTATTTCACCCATCCCTCCCATACACCTCCCCTCTGGTAACCATCAGTTTGTTCTCTATAGTTAAGAGTTTGGTTCTTAGTTTGTCTCTGTTTCTCTCTCTTTTTTTTTTTTTTACCTTTGCTCATTTGTTTCTTAAATTCCACATACAAGTGAAATCATATGGTATTTGTCTTTCTCTGACTGACTTATTTCGCTTAGCATAATACTCTGTAGTTCCATCCATGTCATTTCAAATGGCAAGATTTTGTTTTTTATGGCTAAATAATATTCCACTGTATATATATATATATATATATATATATATATATATATATACCACATCATTTTTATAGATACTTGGCCTGCTTCCATAATCTGTATATTGTGAATAATGCTGCTATAAACATAGGGGTGCATGTATCCCTTTGAGTTAGTGTTTTGTATTTTTTGGGTAAATACCCAGTAGTGCAATTAATGGATCATAGGGTAGCTCTATTTTAAACTTTTTGAGGAAGCTTTATACTATTTTCCTCAGTGGCTGCACCAATTTACATTCCCACCAATAGTGCACCAGGTTTCCTTTTCTCCACATTCTCACCAAAACTTGTTTCTTGTGTTTTTGATTTTAGCCATTCTGACAGATATGAGGTGATATCTCACTGTGGTTTTGATGTACATTTCCCTGATAATGAGTGATGTGTAATATCTTTTCATGGGTCTGTTGGCCATCTGGATGTCTTCTTCAGAGAAATATCTGTACAAGTCTTCTGCCCATTTTTTAATTGGATTATTTGTTTTTTTGGGTGTTGAGTTTTATAAGTTCTTTACATATTTTGGATACTAACATTTTATCAGATACATCATTTACAAATATTTTCTCCCTATCTTCTGTATGTTGCCTTAAAGTTTTTTTGATCATTTCCTTTGCAGAAACATTTTATTTTGAAATAGTTCCAATAGCTTATTTTTGCTTTTATTTAGTTTGTCTCAGAGACATCTAGAAAAATGTTCCTATGGATAATATCAGAGACACTTCTGCCTTTGTTCTCTTTAGGGATTTTTATGGTTTCAGGTCTCACATTCAAGTCCTTGATCCATTTTGAGTTTATTATTGTGTATGGTGTAAGAAAATGACTCAGGTTTGTTCTTTTGCATGTCACTGTCCAGTTTTCCCAACACCATTTGTAGAAG